ACTGACACAATAGAATACATATCTGCACTTTTACTCTGAAATGTTGTTTTAAATGTACAGAATCTTGTAGAGAAGTATTAAATAATTAACATAATTTTCAATATTTCATACTAAAAATTTGAGAATATTAATGTTCCTGTTTCATGCCAAATACTGATTGCTTGAGATTCACTTTCTATGCCATTTTATTACCGAAAGATTGGTTCTCCCAAGGAAAATACCAATATTCAGACACTGGAATCTAGAAATGTTCAGGTCAAAAATAGCATTTTTGAATAGATTGAGGCAACAAAAGACTTCAGATTTGATGACAAGATGATTCTTCATGTTATATCATCTATTAAAAGCCGGAAGGGCATTATGTAACTCCTATTCTTTTACATGACTATCTTTCGCAGGATGCAGTGGCTAAGCTATGGAGGGCACATATCCTTCAATGAGACCAGAAAAGAAGGAAATAGAAGAGAGGGAGAGAGAGAGAGAGATAGAGGGCGAGCGAGCAACAGAGAGAAACAGACAGACATAGAAAGAGAGGGGGAGGGGAAAGGGTACCGGTACATGAAAATGAGATGGTAGGGACCCATCCCATACCCTAACCCTTTATTTATTTCATTTTTTCAAAATTTATTTTCATTTATGTAGGTCAATATTTCATGTCAGAATCATTCCTTGGGTATGAATACCATATGTTTGGACAGGAAGTAATGTCTGGTCTAAGAGAAGTTAAAAGTTAGAAGACCATGGCCTTCTTTCTCATGTCCACTATTGGTAAACCTTTTTTTCGGTTTGAGGGGAGGTTATAGTTCTAGAACCTTTGGTTGTAAGCTGTTGGAATTCTTGTCTGTAATAAAAAACTCCTGCATTATTTTGTACCACAGTGTGTACACTTTAAAAATATCCTCCAAAATGTTACTTTCATAATATCTGCATGATTTTGTTCATATGAAATCATGGGAGAGGGTCTATTCAATTGGATGGCCCAACAAATATTGACAATATTTTACACTTGAGTGAGCACTGGCTAATTTAAAAAAAATGGTTTTGCACAAAATAGGTCCGCTTAAAAAAAAAATGATTTCAATAAACTTGAAATATGATAGCATATTAATCAAGCTGATCTTTAAAATTTGCCTTACACTATTCATATATCAGAGATGGTCCTTTCAGTCTCCTTTTTTCAGTACATGTAGTGTTTTCCTACATTTCCAAATTCATTCTCAAAATAATTTCTGAGAGCATGTCAATATGCATTGCTGCCATCTATTGCTAACAATGGGGTAATGTCCACAGGGGCTGTACAGTACCTCTTGATTCGGGAGGAACAAGTGAAATTTTATGAGGGAAACCATTCATGTCTGAATCCCCTAACAGATATTTGTGGCCATACAAATATTGCAAGATGTCATTATAAATGTTACATTTATTGAGCCATCTCATATTCTTAAAGTCAAATTTATAGAAATGTAAGATTTTGGGTCAAACCTTATATAGTAGTACGATAATATGAAATTTTCATTTCATTATTTGACTGTTTGTAAAGTGGTGCAACAACATTAAATCACTTATCATCTTTGGGTTTATTAAATAAACCGTCATATTTTGTTCAAGTTCAGTATAAATCCCTTTCATGTCTATCTCTTTTCTATAATTATCAACAATGAAAATAAAATATTTTCACACTAAACACTGGCTTCGAATCTGTCTTTTTTTCATAAACTGTATGGTAATTACTAATTATGAGTTTGGAGTAAATTATTGATCAGCAGCGCTGTGAAGAGAAAAATGAAATACGTAGACCATAAACAAATACCGGTAGGTAAATCACATTAAGTTACTTACGGAAGAAAGAGGCAAGACAGGTTGATTCTCTTATGGACGGTGGAATACTGTTCCATGTTTTAAAGTGTTAAATAATCTGTCCATTTATGAATGTTTGAAATATGAGATCACTAAGTCTTTGCAAATCTCAAATTGGTACTTTGGTCAGTGGATTGTGACGTAGGACGTGGATAACTTGCCCATTTGCCAGGTACAAAAATATCATTAATTTCTGTTTTTCTCGTAAGTTCCTTCTCCCTTGGGACACTTCTCAAAATATATTATAGATAGCATATTATTATAGGTCCTCTAGAAAGAATGGAGCAATGAATTTTTTTTTTTTTTTTTTTTTTCGTTGAAAAAATTAAATTGTAGTCATTTTATACATTAGAACAGATGGGAAAGCAGTCCGGCACTACATCACATTGACATTACCGCTTCAGCAAATTTGAAGTGCCCATGGATAGGTATAGTGATTACAACTTTCAAAAATTCAAAACTTTCTCATATTTAATCCGATTTAATTAACACTTTCATCAGTTTGCTTCTCTGACTTTTCTGCTTTTATTTAGAGTAGTTGTCTATTTGGGTTGGATTTCCCTTTAATAGATTTGCTGATTATATTTCAACCTTACGAACAGCCTTTTCACACACAGCTAAAATTCATCGTATCTAGAGATGATTAGAATCACTCAACAGTTTTAAACATGTTTATAGACAAAATTTCCCAGTGTGAACATCGTTTATACGATGTTGGGATAGATACGAAGTCGCGATCCATACGCCCCTAAAAGCAGGCTGCAGATACAAAGTTCGTATCTAGAGAGCTTGACATTTTGTGTGTGAAAGGAAATTCGTGTTTAAACGTGTTTAAACTGGATGGAGCGTGCGCTTTGATTGACATGACATGACCTTCAATGCGCAATGGCACTACTGCGCATTTTACGAGCAGTAGTTAATCACAAAACTATTAACGATCGCAACGAAATTTCTGTGTGTGAAAGGCTCGTGATTAGTTTAAACACGTTCGAAACACGTTTATACTAGTCATGTTTATAGAATTTTAGCTGTGTGTGAAAAGGCTGAAAGTTGTTTCCTGAACAAATCTTGCAGAGATGTAACATTTCAGGCCTTGCTAAGCATTGCTCTGTTTTGACCTTTGCATACTCTTTTGGGTTGCATGATTCTAATCATTTTGCTTGGGTTGAAGATAACACCGAACATAAAATAAAATGTTTTGGACAATGTTCTTTCTTTTTGTAAATATAAATTAAGTGCACAATAGATCTTGACATGACATATACTATTTAGATTATTGAACACCCATTTTCAATCTTGTGAGATTTCCAGAACTCAGTATTGTCATTAAAATAGAATATTTCAGAAGAAATGTTGTTAGAAATTCCATTAATCTCTTTGAGATATGCTACCTATTGTTTGATTTATAGCATACCTGTAAACCCATATTTAAGACAGCTGCACCAAGCAGTGTATTTCCTTTGAAGTTTTAAACAATGTGAGTTGTGAAATGTAATTTATAACACTTTGGGACACATATATCAATGTTTGTTTTTCACTTTTTTAAAATTCATCCAAAACATTTCAAAGTGTATTTCAATGGAATGGCCTTTTAAAACCTGTCTGGAATTAATTCTATAATTCCTCATGGTTTGAATTGCTGCTATATTTCCATCCTTATTTTTCGGAGGCCAAACATCTCCACTGTGTTCTTACAAACTTCTTTTAACATATTCTTTCAAATAAGCTCATTTTTTGAATTGGTGAATAACATTTCATCCTTTGTGCTTCATCAGCAATTTACCAGATTGTAAAAATTGTGTTTTTCTTTCTGATAAAAGTGTGTGAAAAGAGCACATTCTAACAGGGTTCCTGTGGTCATGGAAATTTGATAACATATTCCTGGCCTGGATAAGTCATGAAAAATGAAAAATACCAAGTCTTAGAAATGTCATGCAAAATCACTAAAAATCAGTGAAATATAATCATGAATATTATAAAGATAAAATTTTACACCTTTGAGACAAAAACAAATCTTTTCCAATTCTACTTCATGGATCTATTATTTAATTTTTGAATTATGGAATATATTTTTCTAGAAAGTATAAGAATCATGTTCTAATCTTAAACAATAAATATAGAAAACAAGAATAATGGTTTGCACAGAATGCGCTATTTTCTATAAAGCTGATTCATTGCCTCTTTTCACTATTTACATAGGCCTACTTGTTGTATTGATATGCTTCTTGTTTTTAAATTTGTTCAACTAAAATGGTAATTTATTCAAAAGAAAATGATATAAATATGATAAGAATGAGACTAAGAATCAGACGAAAATATATGAAATGCAATTTCCCATTCTGGTTAATGAATAAAGTTTGAAAGAAAAAAGCTTTAACAACGATGCAGTACGTACCTGCTTCTTTAACAAAAGCCTAATAATGTTGTGTCTATTTCTAAAAAGTTATGAATACGTACTATACTTAGTATGCAAGACCATAAGCATCATGTAGTTATACATTTTATATTGATTATTGATTAGCCAAAGCATTTAACCGTAAATTTAAAATCAAACATTAAATATGCTTTCATCAATCCGTTTAACTTGTTTTATTTGCCTGTTTAATAATCAACATTTGTTTCAATTAAATACATTTTTGTGCATTATTGTAGCAAAATGACTTTCATACAATTGTGTTTTTCCAAAATATGTTAACTTTTTTAACATGTGGTAAAGTAAATCTGGAGCATTTCTTCTTTTCTGGCAACTTGCTGAGTAAGAAAAGGTGAAAAAGTTAATTCATGTGCACGGATTTCGTTTACTCCAATATAATGTAGAGCTAACAAATTTCTGCAACAATAAGCATAGAAACGCAACAACTTTATGTGCACAAGCACTTTTCTCTGACAGATATCAGCTGAGAAAGGAATAAAAAAAAAAAGTTTGACAAAAAAACTCCTTGAAATAGCAGAATTGTCATCTAGGTATACACTGTATATGCACTGAGGTGTCTGTTTTTCTGGGCTGGAGCTCTGTATCGTAGTAGGAGAGTAACACATGGGCTAGGTGCTGAAGCCAGCTGGACTGCAGTACTTCCTCTGTGATTGGCTGAGGGAGTGACCCTGTGTCATATATCCCATAATAAGGGGATATAAAGGTCTCCTGCCATTCAGTGCAAAGTGAGAACCCTGATCCAGGAAAAGTTAGTTTGGCAGTAGTCTCCACTTTACTAGTACGAGTTTGAGGAACACAAAGATTGTACCAAGATGTATAGCTTTGTGGACCTTGCTGTTTGCCACAGGCGGAAGATCCTTCTAACGTTATTAGTATTATTTGCTGTACAGTCGTTTTCAAATGGACAAGGTAAGTTGGAAATACACTCTCCTACTCCAGGTTCTGGATGGTTTTTGATTTGCTCACCTTGTTTTTTTCATTCATTTTAAAAGTGATATGTTCTTCTGTTTACATGTTTTGTCCAGTGGAGTGGGACCACTCATGCATGATGGTCTTGCAGGCTTGCTTGTGTTTCCAAACTTTGAATGTCTTATCACCTGTCAATATTATTATACACGAGGAAGAAGCTTGTCTTCTCTTTCCTATTCTTAAATTCTCTAGAAATTTATTGGAAAGGATGTTTCTTACTCTGCATAATTATAGCTGGATGAAAGACTTTATTTCCCCCTACTTATTGCCTTAATTGTCGTAAGGTGCTGCCCGGCTTCACTCTCACTGTTTACTGTCTCTTTAACAATAGATGGAATTTTATGACAATATTATCATCCAAAATGAAAAGCTGTAAATTACCATAGTCAGCCTTGGCAAAGCTTTCTCTAAATTTGATTACGTATTTGAAATCCCGTAAGTTTGAATTTTTTTAAAAATATAGGTATAGGAGATATCCCACAACATGGGTATAAGTTTACACAACAACTGTTAATTTATATTGTTTCTTTTTGTTTGCTTTTAGTTTTAAGTTTCTGTGTGTACATACAAACAATGATCTACCGTACATATTGAAGCCAATGATTTGAAATAGTTTCAACTTGCAATCTATGAATATATTTATTCTTGAATTCATATTTTAACATGATAGAACATATACTTCTTGTTGGAATTCACACATGAACTCAATTGAACACGTTACCCGACCCTGCTGCTATGCTATGTCAGCCTAAACTGTTTTTATTGGAATAGCGATCTGTTCCATTTTTCTTGCCTTCCTACCTCGCCGGTCCGGGCCATGACCCTTTGCTAGTGCTGTATATATATCAGTCATTCCATGATAATGGATGAATCAATCTACAACCCAGACATGCTGACAGTGACAGGGTTTTTTATATTTTCACTACTTCTCACTTTAGAATCGGCCCATGGTGTGGGGTATGACTTATAGTGCAGTATATATGTATTATGCGACATTCCTAGTTCATAAAGGAGATTATTTAGAAATATGACTGTAAGGAGGCCTAGCTTATATATTAACTTTATTACATTATCTCACTACCTGTTTGTGAAGACTATTTGATTATTGAGGAACATACCCATAGACATGCAATTTCACTTTGTTAAGTTTAAAAGTTATGTTGTCATTCTTTGTAGAGAAACAATCTTTCTGAAACAGCTTACGGTGGTGAGGTCTATATTAGAAGAAATGGAATATGAGAATATTGAGTTAGGTGATATTATAATTCTTTGTATATTACGACTGGAAAAAACTTGTTTGGTGAAATGAAACATCGGAAGTAGAAAATTAGGCCCGGTTTTATGTCTTTGTTTAGTTTTTATGTCTTTGTTTGGTTTAGGAGTATCAAGTCAACTCAGGACTGCTATCAAATAGATTCAAATAGCCAAAGTAGAAATATCTTAATCTACAGATTCAGAATTATATGTGAATGTAACTAAATTAACTGTCAGGAAGGCAGATGATCAGTTTTGTTTTAAATGTCAAAATACAAAGGGGAAAGTGACTAGACACCTGTAAGTTGAAGTTGCTCATATTACATCGACATATTATTAACTACAATACAGGATTAGGTTTTACTTGTCTACTTCCTTTTGGGTTAAATATGTCAGTTCAGTGAGTAGGTATTTCCTGAAAACTATTGAGGAGGATTTTGTTCAATTTGGAAAAGAGACAGTCTAGCCTCTGTCTGTTCGGATGTTCCAGTGATTATATTAAGGCAAAATAACTAAAAAGAAAAAGAAATTAGGGGGATAGTAATAGTGAAATAGGATATGTTATAATTTATCAGTTATTCTTAATTCTTATTTCTTATTCTTAAAAATAGAGTGGATAGGTTCTAATGTTACATGTTTCATCCTGCTTATTAAGACCATAAAATTATACATTCGGCAACATCAGTGAACTGGACTTTATGAAAGGTATGCAAGATGAGATCCGGAAGATCCAGGAATTGGTCACCTGATGAAATTTGTGCCTGCGTGTGTCTTTTGTGTTTTTCTTGTATCTCTTTATGCCTAGACAAGCAGTATTTCCCACCTCCACCTCCGCAGAAAGTAATCCCCATAGCCCTTGAGAACCACTGGGTCATACATATTGCTGCAGTTGCAGTTTTGTGATGGAGGGGCGGTCCTATTCCTCTCATTTCCTGCCTGTATCATACCAGCCATGTCTATGCCCTTGGCGCGGCCAGACAATCAGCCCCATGGGGAAATGATATCTGCACATGTGCAGTGGTATATTCTCCCCATCAACAATTTTTTTCTTTTTCTCGCCTCCTCCTCTCTTCCCGTTTTTTTATGCTAAGGTAGGCTAGTTCATTGTCAACCCTGCACAAACTCAGCATCTCCTACGTGCACCCCAACCGATTTGCTGACTGAGTTATTTCTCAGTGGTGGGATGCAGGCCTGTGGTTGGTCCATTGCTAACCCACTTTTATTGCCAGCCAACTAGGGATGTTTCTAGCATTCTCTCTCCCTATATCTGACCTCGCCTTGAATTCTCAACTTAATTTCCGCAAGGAGGCATATTTATTTTTTTCTCACTGAATATTATTTTAGTCACATTTATTAGTTCGATAATTCTTTAGGAAATGTGGGCCCTCTTAGGATGTCATGAACAAACCTGAAGCAAATAATTTATTTTTCAATAACATCCGTTGATATAGAAAGAATAGTGTTAGTTTTGCTTGCGTCATATCACTAGATAGGTCCTATTGTAGTTCTGTTAACTTATATATTCTACTTAATATTTTCTTTTGCATTCCTGGCAATGGTGCACATAGTTACACTTTAATTTCATAATTTATCTTATTATAGCTTATAAGCCATATCTCTTAAAAACTATTGTTAAAAAACTATAAAAAGCAAGCAATGTGTTGATTATTGTCTTTGAAATTAAAGGGGAATTGCACACTGATATTAGGTTGGTTGTAATAGAAGCAGAAAAATTAAGAGGAACTGGTTAGTTCAAGTTTAAGCAAAATCTGATTTGAAATAAGAAAGTTATGAATTTTTAAAATTGCGAATCAATCAAACACAAGTTGGCAACTCTTTATCTTGCAATGTTCCTTCCCATTTGCTCTGTACTTAAACAATTCTGAAATTTCTTCTTCCCCTCAGAGAATGTTCAATCATACTTGCGACTTCTATATGATTAATTATTGTAAATATGTTTCTATTCAACCCCTGTACGAAACAAATCTATTCTGTCATCAATAACTAAGAAAATAAAGATAATGAAACTTCTGTACAAAGCACATTGGAGAGGACCTTGCAAGGTAATTTCTTGTGAAAGTTATGCTTTTTGATGACTAGTAAACATAAGAGTGAAATCCTTCATTTTTTGCAAGGATATTTCAGGATTTTAACAAAACATTTTGTTTGATTGTTATTTTTTTTTCTTGATACTGGCAGCATAATCTTAGCAACTTTATGTTGTCATTTATTAGACTTTTCATAATAGAGTGCTTGTCCATTGATGTAACAGCACAATTAAACTTTACCACTGATAGGTTTGTCACTAGATATATCTTAACTGTCCACTATCAAAGAAGGCCCCCTCCCCCCCCCCAACACAAAATTTATGAAAAAATGACTTTTGCATGTAGGTCAAATTCAACTTCCTCCCCGACTTGAGTTTTCAGATGGTTCTAATTAGTTCATGTGTCATGGAGCTAGCCTGTCTGCTATGCTCGTAGTAGTTGCAGTGTATCGCTGAATTTTGGTACCGGTAATTGAATTCTGTAGAATAAGAAACTGGACAACATTATTGAAGACTTTTAATATAATGGATTTATATTTTGTAGGATAAGGGAATATTTTCATTTTGCATTTATGCATTCTATTTATTTTGTGAAGCCTAGTATACCAAATCAGTTATAAAAAAATACTGAAGCCATTAAACATTGATTCCTTTTAGTTAGTACATTAACGAAACTGATAAGTCATTCAACATTGAAATTCTATCAGTATCCATTATCAAAATGGTTCATTCACCTTTTGCCTGGTTTATAATATTCAAAGTCTATTAGATTTTCAATAGATAATAAGATAGGATAAGGGAACACATATAACCCCAGTGCCTCAGAGAGGGAAGTATTCAAGCTCCAAATTTCCAACATCATAGTAAACTATTCTTTTTTGTGAGCAGTATATTCCTACTCCCCCATCCAGTTGTTTTTTTAAAAAAAAGGGTTAACCTTAAAATGCTCAGAGAAAATGTGCCCACCTAATGAAATCATTGTCATCAGTTTCATTTCTAAAAGAGTGAATGACAAACTTGAATGGCTTAGTCATTATTTGATCTACTCCAAACATATCCTCTAATGTAGGTGATACCAGATTAATTTTGTGACTCGAAAACATTGGATATTTAAGATACACTGAGATATATAGAGGACTGTATTATCCAGTTGATAGTTGCTTTTTTGTCCGAGACTATAAGTGATGTGTGAGAAACTTGAGAGAGAGAGTCGGTAAATCAAGAACTTAGTTTTGCTTTAAATAGTATAGCTGAAAAAAGTAGAAAGAAAATAAATAATTCCCAAAATCATAGTAAATGAAGGATGGTTTTATATCATATGATATCACTCATGAAGACATAGAAACAAATTATACTACAAAGATGTACATCAGAATCATCTTTAAAAAAAGAATGTTACAAATAATACACTATATGTAGAATTTACTACTGTAAACACAACAGTTCATGTATGTCTGTTATTTTCTTTTTCTTTTTGAAGATCTGAGTTTAGTACAGAATGTATTTCAAATTGATCTTTTGGATGCCATCATGTGTACCATGATTTTGGGAAGGTATTCATTCACAACAAACAACAAACTCTAGTCTTTAGAACTATTTACACTATAGTTACAAGTACAATGTACTCTTTCTGGATCAC